AGCGTACACAAAATAACCTTGCAAAAATATCTCTTCGGTATTAGCATATTTACAAATAAGTAAATGCAATATGCAAAGATGTTATGAAATCGTAATGGTATTTTAAAATAATAATCTATACTAATTTTATAAAGAGGAAAGATTCGTATTTTTTCGATTTTTGTATGTATTGAAATAACTTAAAAAGTAATGGGTCGATTTAAAAAACTTCTCTACCATTAAAAAGCTACATTTTCTCTGAGTTCATAGAGTATGTTTTTATTATTTTTAATTTCACGTGGACGAAATCGCGATCCACAGCTAGTATCTGCTATAGATCTAGCCCTCGCACTGTTAACACATTACTTTTTTTGTTTAATAGAGGATTCAAACACTAAGTTCATTCCCTATTGTTTTTCACAGATCCTTCCCAATCTATCTGCTAGAGAATTTTTGATCTGGATTTGAGTAATAGGTTATTGAAGGATACAAAGTAAAGAGCCGTACTATCTTCTGAAATATCAATGGAGACTAACCTACAAAAACATAAAAGCCTTACAAGACGACTTAGTACAACTTACTTCCACTCTGTAGTCATTTTTAAAAATGTAATAAAATTAATATGTCAAGTTTACTATTGTTATCATCATCCACTTACCCTTATCCCTTATGGAGAGTCGGCACAGTATGTGCTGCTCTTACATACGTCTCTATCAGCCGTCATATCTGAATCCACTTAAGCATATCCTCTTTCACACAATCCATTCATATTTTCTTCGGTCTTCCTCTACCGATGTAGCCATCCACATTCAATCTTAACACTTTCTGGTTTATGTCCCCATCGTTTCGTCATACCACGCTAACCTCTTGTTTCTCAATTTTTCCACCACTGGCGCTACCTTTAAATTTCTTCTAATGTTTACATTCTTAACTATATCCATTGTATTGTATAGTATAAATTATATATTCAAGTATATCATACTATTGTATTAAAAGGTAATTGAATATTACCGTACAATTAAGTGAAGCGTATACACTTTGAACATCTAACTTCGTTATAATCTTTGCTCGACGGGTTTCGGGGAAAGACTCGTAGCTATTACTTCACGCTTAATATAACAGAAAGCATATTGTTTAGTGTAATATAAGCAAAAGTATTTATGTTAGGGACATTGTTAATTCTCTTCCGCATACATAAAGCTCATAGCTATGTTTACAGCCGCGTTATGGAATACTCTGTCCTCAGCGTTATAACCATACATTTACGACTTAGGGTCCTAGAAATAACATACTCATTTCCGGTTCCTCTGATGTTGTAAATGTCCGCGGTTGTCGGTTCTATTAATATTTGGAGGGCTGCCCCATTTTACTCTGTTCCTACTAAGAAGATCAAGAAACATTTTTTGTGAATAGGTATTCCAAGATTTGAAAATCTAGGAAAACTTTTATTGTAGATAGAACTATCTGCAGTCTAAACTTTTCCAGACACTTCGTGATTGTCGTTTCTCCTCGGAAATGGTTAACTTCTTTTAATTTGTACTGACTACGATGAGCTAAAATAAAATGGTTAAGGAAATGGAGGGATGTTTTTTTTTTAAAATGGCAAAAAAGTTAGAGCTTTTGATGTCGAACTCGAAATATCTAACTGTTGAAAATCAAAACCAATGAATATTTATTGAGTCGCAAATTAGAGTGAAACAAATTCCATTTCAAAGCTAATAAAATGCCACAACACTGAGATTTGCTTGCTTTATATTTGTTGCGATATGTAGTTTACTAAACGCAATTTAAATTACATGTTTATTATATTCAAGCTGTTGCTCGCGACCTTTCTGACGGTGAAGGATTTTTTAAAATTAGCTTAATAGTTTTTGAGTTATTATAATACATACAAAAATACAAATCTTTCCTCTTTATAATATTTGTATAGACTTGTATATAATATTATTAAACGTCGCTAAACGAGTGTGGCCGTTTTTTATTTAATACCTATACTAAAAAAGTATACTTAGAAAAACATACATATACCATTTTTATTTTCAGATAAACAAAGACATATAAAATCAATTAATTGACCTTGATAACTTGTTTTTATACAATAAATCTGTACCCTGGCATGCGGAGCAATGCCAAAGTAAAAAAAGTTCAAATTAGTATATTTCAACCTCTAACAATGTAACAGGTTAAAACACCGGTATACATCATAATTTTTTTTCTATAGTACGAATAAAAAGTGTAATTAGAAACCTGTTTCTAGGGCACTCACCTTTAGCGTCCCTTAACATCTTAATTTCATTTTATCTTGTGATTCAGAAAATCGTAATATAGTATATGCAAATGTTAATTTTCATTTATATATCTCCAGAAAAGATCGTGATATAATTATGTATGTCTACAAAAATGCAAGGCGCACACAAGGCTACTGGTTACTCTTTGAAATTCTAAGCGTATAGCACTTAAATACCTACATGTTTTCATTTATAGGTATTAGGAAGACACTTCCTTCTTAATTAAGTCCAAAATAAAATCGTGTTGCATTACAAGATCCGTGATCACATATAACTATTTTGTCACCAATAAATCACTATTTCCTTAACACAAACTTTGTAAATAAAAATAATCTGACTAATATTATAAATGCGAAAGTTTAGATGTATGGATGTTTGTTAGAGTTTGTAGCCTAAACCGCTGAACGGATCTCGATGAAATTTGGCATGGATGTAGAGCAGAGTATGGAAGAACACATAGATTACTTACTTTTGTTTTTTTAATACCACGCGGAAAGAGTCGCGGGCGAAAGCTAGTAAATATATAAAGCATACATACTTGAACTGTGATCTCTGTTAGTTAAATAAGCTAAGAAAACTGTTTCCCATAATGTTTTTAAATATTTTTTCAGTTCGCAGAGTAAAGTTAACATTGACTTCTACCGAAAACGTCTTATTCTAACTACCTACAAGGCTAATAGAAAAACAAATATTTATTTAAACAATACAATTTATTACTTAACCAACAATGGTCCACAGAGAAATATATTTTTCTAGTAATATATTACGCTTTACAACACAATCATATACAAAAAGATTACTTTCGTAAAAAAAAACTGTAATACAGTAGCTATTAATGAAAATTGTTTTGAACCATCGTATCTTAATAAGTATTTTGTGAAACAATTTTTTATTCAATTAAAAAAACGTAGGTTTTTATGTTTATAATGTCGGTATAACTTCGTAATACAGATTAGATTCTTTATTAAATATACATCGAAATAAATAATTTAAAACAATAAAACTTTACACAGCGTTTAAATATTTTTTTTTATTTTCAAATAAATGGAAAGTATGAAAGTACAAGCTTAATATTACAACATTCTGTTTATAATTTTAAAATTTATAACCAAAAGAATATAACGAGAACGATCACAGTCACGGTAACAAACATGCCTCCAAACAGTATATATTTGTCTTGAGAAACTCTTCTCTCTATTAGGGATATTGTTGCATTAGACAGGCCGAGAGTATTCGCCAAGTCTATTAGCCTTCTATGAGCACCTTTCAAAGTATCCCTGTTGTACCTTAGAGTCTGCAAAATGTTCGAACCTGGGAACAAAAATTATAAATTACATTAAAAAGTGCAATCCTAAAGAACGCACCAGCTTCAATTGCCTGAGTGCCTATTTCCACTTACAACTTGTCGCGCGATTCACGCACGGCTCTATTTCTGTACCAATCTGGTACGCCAGTGGATAGTACATGTTTCTACTTTTCATTCGCAATGACATTTCTTTGCTTTCATCTATAGTTTTTAATAAGATAACGTAAGTGATTTACGAGACCAAATAAAAAATTAAAATGACTAAAAAATATAAATATAAGCATGTCCACATTTTCTAAAACAACGATATGATTCTTGTCGTTAATGTATGTCACGTTTATTTTTTACCTTTATTATCAAACAGAATAGCTGTTCCCATGCGACTTCATCCGCATTAAGTTATAAAAATGTTATTTTATTGTTTACATTTGTAAAATTATCAATAACAATTGTCAAAATGACATGATCTTGCTTCCTTGCTGTTGGCAGCAACTTATTATCTCTTTCTCACATTAAGGTTTTTATCCAAAATATTTACCCCTAAGTTTAATGGCGTTAAAATACATAGCTTAAAGCGTGACGCAAGTGTACGGCTTTTTATTAAAAAAATAATGATTCAATAATATGCTGTAATTGCTGACATCTTAGGTAATAAAGAAGTGTGTGTTTACGCTTTATTATAGTAGTAAAGAAGTATAGATAAGCGAATTTATTAAATTTATTTTAGAGGACTAAACTTCCTAGTACGTTAGACAAAACAAATTACAAAGCCTTTGTTCCAATGAACGCACGTATTCTAAATTCTATTTAATGGAAAAATAAATGCATGAAAATAATGAATTACAACTCGGCATACGATAATTTGAAGGCGAAGCACGGTTTATAATTACGCATTTATGCTACAGTCCTCGTTCAGAACTGGTGGTGCTAAGAAAACATCATTGTGTTTGTGTTCAAAAACCTGTTTGTTTCAAGATCACCGAATAACATTTGTTATTTTTTATCTGTAGTACTCGGTGCTATATTTTGATATACTGTGGACAATGGCGGGCTTTGATTGAAATTCAAGTTTATTTTATGTGTTTTAAGTGAAATTAAAACTATCTTATGTATGTGTATTTGAAAAGTGAAATAGTTCGACAGCTAAAAAGCAACAATGTGGTGAGTAATTCTATGTTTTAAAAATATGTACTCAATATAACGTAAATATGTTTTTAAAATAGATATATGGAAAATTTATTAAATAACATATTGTTAAATTCTCACTAAGATACCTTTATGTTATAAAAAAATTAAAAATAACTTACGTTTTTAAACACATTTCGCATAAGGAAAAGATACCACGATAGTTTATCTCTAGCTACACTGACCAATTGGTTGAAAGTTTAGTGCAGTACTTGAGCGTAGATAATACTTAAATAAGTATGAAATATTATATTTAATGTAAATGTTTTTCTCTTTTATGTCATTTTATTATTGTATTGTTAACATATCTTTAAACGTTATTATTAAATTTGGGTACTAACAGTCTAGGACATTTATTTCCTACCCATATCGATGTCATATGATACAATAATATTACGATAAAAACATGTTTGAACATAGATGTTGAATTATATCTTGAAAAAAATATACTGT